GTTACCAACATCTGGTGAAAATTTCATGTCATTAGCACCTCTAGTAATATATTTACTGAGAAAAATGATGACGTGTTCAATACTTATTTTACCTGCTGKATTTTTGAGTAGACATGTACAACTTCTTCTATAAATTTGCAGCAGTTATGTAACATATACCATGCAGATATGTTTCTATAGCCTCTTTCAAAAGTCAAATCTGCCAAAATCGCCGCACAGACGGCCCGGCTTTATTCCCTCCCGGATCATTCATAAAATCACAGGACAAGCCGGCCAGGTCCTGCTCACATGCACGCGTTCATAAATGAACCAGCAGCACGGAACCAAAAGCGGTGTGGAGCAGAACTCAGCTGGGCTGAAGTGGACTGCATGTGTGACATAATGTCTGCTGCCTCGTATCAAACAAAACAAACTGAATTAACTTACTTCAGTGATTCTGTGGTGGTTAAATATTTTTGAACTAGCTACACAGTTGCTGTTCTGTGTCATATTTAATATTCCCTCTGTAATAAATTTGTAGATTAATCCTCCGCCGCTCATTGGCTCTGTGTCGTATCAAAAATTAAAAAAWAAAAACAGAATGAAATCAGCTCGTTATATCGAACCTGTGGCTCAATATTTTWAAAYTAACTACAMAGTTGATGTTTAGTGTCATTTTTAATATTCCACTGGTAATAAATCMGTTTTTTGGTTAAATACTAGGGTTGCTCACTGATACAGTATCATCAACTCATTATCTTTTTCTGAGCGCGGAACCGTGGTTTGCTTTTTCACAAGTACAGTGGGGTGAGAAAGTTTGGGCAGCCTTGTTAATTTTCCAGATTTGCCTTTATAAATCTTTTATTGGATAAAAAAAATCAGTAAAATATATTATATAGGGGAAAAAGAGTGATATTTGGGAAGTGAAAAGAAGTTTATATGATTTGCAGAAAGTGTGCAATAATTGGTTAAACNACCAAAGGAGCACACCATTAAATTTTGGTGATGACCCTGATCTCAATGCAGATCCAGGAATTTTTTTGAATAATTCTTCACAATTACAGGATAGGGGAAATTGGCCTTGGMGGAGGTTTGCGCTCTCCGAGTCCTTCTTGTTTTGTATGGTTTTCTTCAGAGCTTTAAAATATCTTGTATGGAGAATCAGACTTAACTTGCACTAAAGGGCCTGCAACAAAACATAG